GACCAGGGCCAGGGCCACCCCCACCTGTGAGCCCATTCCAGTGGGGGCTGGGTGGCAGGAAGGGTGGCAGTGAGAGGAGGAGGTGGGCCCTGCTGTGAGCCCCAGAGGGAACGCATGGCCGCCTGGAGCTGTAGGCTGTCTGTCCCCTGGAGGCCTGGCTGGCCGGACCAGTCCCAGCGGCTTATCTAGCATCTCCACCTGGGGCCTTTCCGGGGAAGCTGCTAGACCCCCTGGCCACACCTCCCAGGGTCCATCCTCAGGGCAGCCACACCCCACCCCGGGTGGGGGTGGGGGGGGCGGCTGCAGTCAGCTCCAGCCCAGGGCACAGCCTCCCTGCCCCCAGGCCTGCAGACGTGAGGACCCCTCCCCCATTGCTTGGCCACCAGGCCCAGCTGCCTCCCTCTCGCTCCCCAGGTGGAGGCTCTGCTAGTGAAGACTCCACCTTCCTTATTCATTCTCTGTCAGCATGGGGTTGCCATCTTGTTTGTCTTTACCCAATGTTAACTTAAAGGAGAAAACACGCTTATTTAAAATGTTAGCTGTGAGTTCTGCATGCTGGAATTCTTTTATCTGCCTCTAGGGCAGACATAGCCCAATCAGCAAAGACAAAAGCCTATACCCGGGACCCCACATGCATCTCTCTCCAGGACTGTGCGTCCACAGGCTGCTCCTGGGTCCACATGGGAGGGAGGGAGGGCGGAAGGGAAGGGTAGGCTTGGGGGGTGCTCATTGCCTCCCAGGTTCCCAGATAATGTTGAGACTGTGCCCTGCCTTGGGCTGCATAGCCCCCCAGGAGAGACAACGGGCTCCCCACAAGCAATGCCGGCCCCTCTGCTGGGGCCCCAAGAGGCTGGGGGTCACTGAGCCTCTGTGGATGGTCCCAGGTCTGGAAAGGGCATGCACTAAGGATGATTCTGTCCTTGATGCCTCATGGAAGCCAGGCACCCCCACGACCCTGCTGGGTCCCAACCCCACCTGAGCCTTGGCAGGGGCCCGGAGAGGGGCCCCCAGAGCTCCTGGGTCTCCCAGCCGAGCCCTGCACACCCACAGACCCCAGAGCAGGTTGGTCCAGGATCTGAGCAGGCCCACGGGGCAGGTCGCTCTGGTCTTGCCTCCTCGCTGGGTCTCAAGCTTCCGGGAAGTGAGGGGCACCTTATGCTACCCAATAATTTATACACAGATGGAGGGGAGGTGGAGGAGGGGCCGAGGGGGCCTCCAGTGTGACCTGCACCCCCACCC